TTACCACAAAGACACCCCGACACAGAACTGAATTAATTGAAATTTGCAAATAAACCAATGTATTCGGAAAAATAAAAATGCTGCTTGATCGTCTGAAACTCGGATATGTCACGTATAATCCCAATTTGCACGACCATCCATTAATATAAAATCTATTGATCAATAGATGTCAACACACATTTCTCTTTATTATTATTAAAATTCGTTAAATTTGAAAACATAAACCTTTCTGTTCAAGTTTTTTTTTATAGGATAGGGTGACAAACGAGCACACAGTCCACCTGATGGTAAATGGTTGCTGTGGCCCATAGACATATACATCTATCCTCGTTTGCGAATCAAAATGCAGATGCGTTGTCACCCGTGAGGACTAAGATGGAAAGCCTCTTTTCCAGTAAAAAGGGTCTCCAGTTCTCTACACTCACCATACGAAACACAGCAGTGTTAAGCTGCTATTTTACGCGGATATTCTGTGTGAGCGTGGTTTTTCCCCGATTGAGCCGACCCATTCGTGCTACAACTATACTACTAATATAATAGCTGCAGCATGGCTACACCACGCATAAAATTATTATTATGTACTAGCAACCCGCATTTCGCTTCGCGTAGGTTGGATCTATTAATGTTTCACAACTAATCCTTAGTAATTATTTATATTATCGACTTTTACATTTAAAAAAAAATTAGGTCCCTTCTGGCACTGATCTCAATATTATGTTCGTGAATTGACATTGTTCAGCGCCCATACTCTGTTCGCCTAGAATCAATATAAAATTATAGCCAGAACGCTGTCAAGTACCAACTTGAAGCCAAATATTATTTATGTGTTAGTTAACTCCTTAGAGTACATATAACCAAGTAAGCAAGTGGTGTTGGGAGTAGTGGTGACGGGATGATGCAAACGTGAATTTACTTTTTACGTTCTAAATTAGGCATTTATGTGCATCGATTTTGATACAGTCTCGATTGAAACTATTTTAAAATCACACACTATTTTTGATAATCGTAAAGAATTCAAAATACTTTCAGATTTGGGTTTATAATAAGTCATTGCAATTATTCATTTATTAATTCACATTAGAATCATGACTGTAATTACTAAGCGCTTATTTGTGCAAATAAATAGGATTCCTCGTAATATATAAACATTTGTGTTGTCCACCACATAATATAAAACATATATAGCTGACATTACATTGCCTGTCGGTAAAAAAAGGAAGATCCTCTCAATTTCCAACTAACATCTATCGAACCGGTTTGATGGTAGATGGTAGATGGTTTAGCCATTTAAAAGATTAGTCCAGAGAGAAAGATATTTTTTTACGTGGTAGAGCCATTTTGCTTTATATTATCGTTGTAGCACAAATGGGTCATCTTGAGCGTGGTCCTCCACACTCTCTTAGAATACCAGCGTAAAATAGTAGCTCAATGCTGCTGTGTTTCGTATGGTGAGTGTAGAGAACCAGAGACCCTTTTTGATGGTGGCATTCCATCTTATCCTAAGAGGTGACAACGCATCTACATTTGGATTCTTAACCAAGGATAGATGTAGATGTCTATGTGTCATGGCATCTACTTACCACGGGCTGTGTGCTAGCTTGACATTCTTATTCTTTAAAACAAAAACAAAGACAGACAATTTACAAATGATTGTACATAAGTAATCCCTTGAAGCGGGGGACGGTATGAATCAATCTATAGTGATAGCTTATGTTCAGCAGTGGAATTTTTGTAAGTTGGGATGGATGATATGACTCGGAATATAATTATTTTATACGCAAGAGAATACAGTATTGAAATTTCTTTACAAAATTCAAATAAACATCATGTTTTAACGTTAAGGACAGACATTCGCTTACATCGAAATATTTCATCAGAACGGATCTTGTTCACAGATAGAAGTCTTTTGCAAGGCTTCAAAAGATGCTCGCAATTTACGGGTATTATAAGATATTCTTCTTAGACGTGAATGAAAAGGCTTAGATTTTTGTAACAGACAAGTATTTTATGGAGTTTTTGTTGAGATCCTTTTGAATTTTTTTTTAATAATATTTAGTGTATTATGAAACGTTTAGGAGCACGGATATTATTTAAGGTAATCAGAAAAGTTGCCTTTTGTATATGATTTTTTATCTGACTTCAAATTCTTTGATGACCATTCTCAAAAGGTTAAATTAAACGTAGCACTCCTTGACCGCAGCCGTGCATGGCGGTTTAAAAACATTCAGTACCATAAATTATCCCATGGGAGTTGTAACATAAACCAGGAGATGGGCAGTAACATTTTCCTTATAATCATGTCCTCTATCTTTTTGCTTGCATGAATTGCAAGCAAAAAGATAAACAAATAAGTCCGCTTTCTCCTTAAGCGCATGCGCCAGTGAGCCATCTGATTTTACCACCGAAGGCAGTGTAGACTGACAGAAGTTTGTTTCGACCGCTCAAAATTTTTAATCTCAATATCAAATTTTCGATATATTGAAGATGGGCCAAATCAAAAGTATTCTTAACCGACGTACGTCAGAGCTTTTATATGGATATAAAAGAAGCCCGTAGTCTCTGCCTACTCCTCTGGGTAACAGGTGTGAAATATTTATTATGGTTAACGTACGGACTACGAAATTTAAAAGTCCTGAATTTGAATTCGCCGTTTACTATTACATTAATTACCGTTGTGAACCACCCCTTATTACAAAAGTTTATTATTAGCTTAACTGCAGTAGATTTTATTTATTTTATACAATAAGGAAGGCAAACGGACACATAGTCCATCTGATGGTAAGTAGATTGTGTGGTCCACAATTCACATATGTCCATATCTGTCTTCTATTGACAATCAAAATGCAGATGCGATGTCACCCCCGAGGACTAACATAGTGTGATTCGTTTCCAGTAAAAAGGCTCTCCGGTTCTCTACACTCACCAAAAAAACACAGCTGCTGTTTTACGCTGGTATTCTGTGCGAGTGTGGTCCTTCCTCGGTCAAGCCGGTCCATGCATGTTACAACCATAATATAACTGCAGCATGGCTCCACTACGTATAAAATTGTTAATATTAATAGCACCATAATATACTAGTTGGTATGGTTGGTAATTTTTTTGGATCAATAATTGGAATATTTTAAAAAGAAATTAAAGATATTAAATATGTTTAGATAAGAAATATTTTTACACGGGTCTTATCTAATTAGCTTAAACATCTACACTAACATTTATATGTTTGTTTGAATTAAATAGGCTTCGTAATTACTAGACCGATATAAAAAAAATCACCATTAAAATCCTCCACTATCCCTGATGAATATAGGTAATAGTAAAATTAAAGTAAAGTTGCAGCCTATTTACGTCCCACTGCTGGGCACAGGCCTCCTCTCATTTCTGAGAGGGTTTTAGGCCAAGGAAATGCCCGCTGCGCTGCTCCAATGCGTGTTGGCGAACTTCACATGTCTTCGAAATAATTTTTTTCTTATTTCCCAGACATGCAGGTTTCCTCACGATGTTTTCCTTCACCGCCGAGCACGTGGTAAATCAGCACTTAGAATTGCAATTAACAATTTCATTGTTGCCGCCGCGGATCAAACGCGGTTTGCTCGAGTACTGTGAAGCTTACAGCGAGCGCTAACCATCTGAGCTACTACGGCATAGGTAATAGAATATTTTCAAAATAGTTAGGCATTCGTATGAAAACTTCGTTAATGTAATGCAAAAATATAAAAAAGAATCCTTATATCGCGTACGCTGCGGAAACTATTGACAACAGAATAAAGTGATGTACAGTTTTATAGAAGACATCAATATCTTTAAAAAGTCCGCGATACCATATGTCTAAATATTACAGTTATGTCACAATAACTACCTTTTAATGAAACAATCAAACAAACTTATCTTTCCTCCTTATAATATTAGTGTACCCAGGTACGAATAATGTGGCCTAGTTTGTACCAGCGTTACTATTGCATATTTTCACATGAAAAAGTAGTTATTTTGACATAACTGTAATAGTTAGACATATGGTACCACAGACTTTTTTGTGAATGTTTATATCTTCTATAAAATTATAATACATTGCTTTGCTCTATTGCCAATAGTTTCCGCGGCGTACGCGATGTAAGGATTTTTTTTTAATTTTTTTTCACACCTTGGATTACATTAACGAAGTTTTCATATGGATCCCTAACTTTTTGAAAATATTCTATCTAGGTGGTCTGAAAATGCAGTTAATTTTTCCGATGGTAAAATTTTGAAAGTATCGCCTACGTACCGCTTGTAGAATTTGGGGGCACGGTAGTGCCCCCGCCAAGTCGAGCAAAAAAGCGGCAAGGCCTTACCATCCTTTTCTCGAAGCGGTTCAGGCCATTTTCAAAACCCTATAACTTCGTTGTGGATAAAACTAGAAGCCTGAATTTTTAGTAACCAAGTAGGCATTGTATAAACTCGGTTTATTTTAAACTTTATCAAATTTGAACCAGTAGTTTAAGAATTATAACTAATCAAAATTTCTTAATTTTGTCACTCACTGACTGACCGATCATCAAAACTCTAAGACACTTCTAGAAGACATAGAAGCTTCATATTTGGAATACAATTATTGTTCAGTATATAAATCAAGGAAAAATTAAAATATTTTCTCAATTTCGGTCCAGTTTTCGAGATTTTTAGATAACTTTGTAATCCCATATAAATATATAGGATTACAAAGTTACATTTGCAGTGAATGAATCAGTGTACCTATAAATGTATAATATAATGGAATAATAGGTGTAGATAGGTACGTAGAACTATCTACAAAAAGAAATGAGATGCCATTAAAAACATAACTGTAAAAATAAACAAGTCTCACAACTCAGTTCTTCTATCGTAAAAAGTTGTGATACGCGCTCCACACTCCTGTGTGATTCACGGCGTGAATTCACGCCGTAATTTTGCCGCGAAATAGTCGCGAAAAACATGTCCCTCCACATTCGCTATCGTTCACAGTTTAGTTCGCGCGCTCGTCAAGAATGGACGCCGAAATATGCACTGCCATCGCCGTGACGCTATGCGCTTTGGCTCACTACAATTACGTATATATAAAAGATAAAAAAAAAATAAAAAAGAAATGGAGAAGACGAAGATGGTGGATGACAAAGATACATCGCAACAGAACAAGGTATGTGGTACCTACATATTATGATAACAGTGTCCATTCATGTGGCCTGAAAGAACTGTTTAACCGGTTCAGTGCGGGTGACACGCCAGGCGTGTCATGATATATTTGTTTGCCGCCACAGATAAAAGTTGTCGAAAATTGGTGCCGCAATGAATCGGTTAATTAGTTTAATCCTGTCAGACATAAAAAAAAACTGTACGTGGTTTTAATTGCAGGACTAAACTAATTTTAAAGTTGAGAGATTCAGTTAAAGCATTCGCTATCCGAATCGACACCATTGTCAAAAAGCATATCAACCTTTTACACAACGGGACTGCAAGTATACCGCAAGTGTTAAGCTTGACATGCACTTGACAGTACTATTTTATTGCATACAAAACGAGTTAAATAGGGTCATTTTATTTGTTGCAGTTTGACTATGGAAAACCAATTGATGGAATTAGTTGCCGAACCTTCTGGTGAATTTAAAAAGTTTACTCGAATGTCTTTAGAAGATTTCGAGTACTTACTAAATAAGGTTTCACCAGTGATTATGAAACGAGATACTCAACTGCGAGAAGCAATTCCAGCTCGAGTGCGTCTCGCTGTCACGTTAAGATTCTTGGCTTCTGGAGATAATTACGAAAGCTTGCATTTCTTATTCAAAATTTCACCTCAGATAATTTCGAAGATCATACCTGAAGTATGCTTGGCTTTGAATCAAGTCTTGAAGGAGGAAATTAAGGTAATAAAATAAAATTTTACATAAAATCGTGTTCATTTATTCAAAATGGAAACAATCACTTATTATCATAACTGAATTAACTTAAAAGCAGCACCTCCAATAACTAAATATCAAAAGAGAATCATAATTATCTTGATTATGTCAATAGCACGGCAAGTTACACTTTAAAATATGTACAGTTTTCTTATGCCATAAGTAATAATAGTTAGAATAGAACTGAAAGAGTAAAGCTTGACATACACTTGTCTGTACTTATTCTGAGATCAATCCTAATAAAATAAAACATCAGAACACCAGAAAAGTAGCAACGTTTTGGCTTACAGTTAGGCAAGATGAAATGCTTTATTAATGACATTTCCAAATTCAGTCTGTAAATCTTCTGTCACTTCATATGGAGTCTCTGTGTTTGCTATATAATGAGTGGCTGGAGATTCTACGTCATTGGATGTTACCATATATCTCGAATCAGTGTTTGTGCTATAGTCAGGAATGTGAATGCCTCTAGATTTTATTACTTTATTGGATGTTATCATAACTCTAGAACCAGTGTTTCTGCTACAATGAGGAATGTGAATGACTGGAGGTTCTACAACTTCATTCGATGTTACTATAACTCTAGAACCAGTGTATGTATTATAATCAGAATTGTGATTGACTGGAGATGGCGAATTATTCATTGTATGTTCGGAATAAATTGGATGAGATGTGCTAGGTCTACCATATAACGCAGCAGATGGAGGCGGAGATTGGTGTTCGGAATACGTTGAGCGTGATGTGCTAGGTCTCCTATACGCACTTGATGTAGACTGAGCTGGGCTATTTGAAAATCTGTTGTATCGATTTCGACTATTTTGTTGGTAGCGTAGGAATATGCCGTCTATTTCATACATGAAAGGTAATCTGTCATCTTCAGGTAAGGTCTTTATTTTTTTGGACAACATTTTACCATATAGGTCATAAACATCATCTTGGTCGGACTGGGATTCTCTCCTATTGATGGTCGATTTTAATGTAGCAAGAGCATCTTGTACAACTTTGCCAGCATCTTGGAGTTCAGGTGGATTGTTGCGCCGACGGATTGTTTGTGGTAACTTTTTTTGGTCATTCGGACTTTGTACATCTTGTTGTCCTTTGACCTCTTTATTGTCAACAACTGATTCTTCCTCCTGAAAATAAAAGTAAAAAAACAATTATAACATTTATTTATTTTTTATTTTACAGATTCCATCAACCGCAGAAGAATGGCTAGATATCGAAAATGGATTTGCTCGTAAATATCCTCGTGCTATTGGATCCATAGACGGAAAGCACATCACTTTAGAATGTCCAAGTAACTCAGGATCAGAGTATTATAACTACAAAAAAACATTCAGCATAGTGTTGCTAGCATTGGTGGACAGCAGTTACAATTTTATTTTTGAAGATATTGGTTCTCAAGGCAGGATAAGTGATGGCGGAGTATTTCGAAATAGCTTGCTATGGCAAAAAATTTGCACAAATGCTTTAAATATTCCTGAACCAAACCCTCTTCCTGGCTCGAATGTCCATGTACCGTACGTATTTTTGGGAGACGGTGCTTTTGCACTTACAGATCATGTGATGAAACCTTATCCAGGCAACCATGAGTATGGTTCTCCAAAACGTATATTTAACCAGGCATTGTCACGAGCACGTGTTGTTGTAGAGAATACATTCGGAATACTTGTGACAAAATTTCGTGTGTTTAAAAAACCGTTTCAGCTATGCCCAGAAAAGATTTCTCTTATTACAATGACTTGTATATTGTTGCACAATTATCTCAGAAAAAGCAATACTTCGTTACCAATATATACACCGCCGGGGACCATCGACATATATGATAACAATGACATACTCACACACCCCGGTACGTGGAGACAAGAATTGGAAAGCAATTCTGCTGTTCGTGATTTGCTACACGTACCACGTCGACCGGCTTCGAATGCGAGAGAAATAAGAGAAGAATTCACTAATTACTTCTTTGCACTAAGCCAGCAACAAAACCTGCCTTAACAGGAAACACCACGGCCGTTTTTCCATACAAACGTAGTCCCCTGTTTCCTACCTGGATAATGCCAGTAGAGTAATTTTTTCAAAAAAATCTATGGCCACTATTGGCATGTCCCTGTGTTTCCTTATTTCCATAAATAAATTATTAAAAGAGAAATGAACATCTAAAAAACTTTGTTTAGATTATATTACAAAAAAAGAATACGCAGTGTTTCCTCATAATCTTTACATGTTGACATCAATAATAAATTGCAAATAAAACATACTAACCGTATTAGTAGTTTTTTTACAATGATCGCTTTCTCTTATAAAAGCATCGATTGCGTCAAAGGCAAACCAAATGGGCTTGTAAATTTCGTCGCTACTTGCTCCAGACTTGTTTACGGAATCCTTCACCTTTTTCCTATAAGTCCTATAACTGGACATTAGATTTTTTTTTTTAAATCAGTCACTTCAATATTCATTATTTCCTTTATTCGCATCCATGCGTCATGTACTTTCATTTTATTTTTATGGTATTTATGTTTAGCATCCCATAAAATGGGTTCGGCATGAAGACACTCGATCAACATGAGTTCTTGCTCGTTCGTCCAACTGACGCTCATTTTGACGCACCGTCCTCCGTAAACAAATACAAATAAGCACAACCTCCCGGCACCGAGTCTCGTGCGTTACTGATTTCACGCGCGAGTGTGGATGCGCTTGCTTTCGCGGGAGGTTCGCGCCTCGTAAACCCTTTGAAGCGGCGTAAAATACCGACACTGAACGGGGAACAAGGCGTGAACAGGCGCGAAGCCCGTGAACGGGCGCGAAAGCCATCCACATTCGCGGTTCGCGGCTTTCACGGGTGTTCACGGCGCGAATGTGGAGGGCGCCTGAGATCCATGCAATACCAAGTCGGTTATTCTATTCAGTCCCCACTTAAGGGTCCTTCTGTCTTAAATTATTACGTAATTAGCTAACTTAACAACATTTTATAGGGACCATATCAATAGTAAAAATCTTTTAAGTTTTTAATAAATAAAGTGAAAAATATGTGTGTAAAAAATAAAATAATAAGTGTGTGTGTGTGTGTGTGTGTGTGTGTGTGTGTGTGTGTGTGTGTGCGCGCGTTAGCCTGTGCGTGTGCGCGTGCGCGTGCGTGCGCGTGCGTGCGTGTGTGTGTGTGTGTGTGTGTGTGTGCGTGTGTGTGTGTGTGTGTGTGTGTGTGTGACCCTCTCACTGCAATTTTTGAATGGCTTGACCGATTTGAACGAACTTGGCGGCATTCGAAAAGACTTCACCAAACTCAGAATTTACACGTGGTAGAGCCACGCGGCAGCTTTTGCTGTCGCACGGATGGCCGGCCGGTAGATACAGTTAAATGAAAACAGCCAGCCGGAAGGATTAAGCCCAAAAGAGCTTAGAATTTTCACCGATGGTTCTAAAACAAATGAAGGTGTAGGTTCTGGAGCTTTCTCTGAAGACCTCAATATTCACATATGCACACCGCTGGGTACCTATAACACGGTCTTTCAGGCGGAATGTATGGGTATCATTCAAGCGGCCATAGCAATAGATGCTAGGAAGGTTAATGACTTCCCCATCAGAATACTGACCGACAGTAGGGCGGTACTCCAAGCCCTGAGATGCAATGTGGTGAACTCGGGACTAATATATGAATGCCATCAACGATTAAATGAGGTATGTAAAAACAACAATGTGACCCTGCAATGGATAAAGGGACACAGTGGATCCAGAGGCAACGATGCAGCAGTCGAACTGGCTAGAAGAGGATCGGCTTTGGCCACTATAGGGACGGAACCAATCATACCAATCCCCTTTGGTAACGTTTGTTCACTGGTACGTAGACACTTCACTAATCAACACGCTCAGCTTTGGAAAAATTTAGTAGACTGTAGACAAGCTAGGGATGCCCTGCCTGAAATTAACAGTCGCTTAACAAAAGTTTTAATGAGACTGAACAAGCCGCAGATTAGGATAGTAACAAGTGCTATCACAGGACACGGCACCTTTAACAAACATTTATTTACTATAGGTGTTACAGATAGTCCCCTGTGCAGGGCATGTATGGGGGAGGACGAAACGGCGGCCCACGTGCTACTGAAATGTCCGGACATCTCGGCACGCCGGGATCACTCCCCGAAGTTGCATGCAACATCAAGGGCCTGTTGAGCTTCTTCGGAGAGATCTCATGGCTCGAATAATCACATTATTCCTGCCCACACGCAAAATACGCGCATAGACGTGGAGTTGCGGAAAACAGCCCGTCGTAAACTAAACTAAACTAAACTAAAGGGTCCTTCTGTCTTAAATTATTACGTAATTAGCTAACTTAACAACATTTTATAGTGACCATATCAATAGTAAAAATCTTTTAAATTTTTAATAAATAAAGTGAAAAATATGTGTGTAAAAAATAAAATAATAAGTGTGTGTGTGTGTGTGTGTGTGTGCGCGCGCGTTAGCCTGTGCGTGTGCGCGTGCGCGTGCGTGCGCGTGCGTGCGTGTGTGTGTGTGTGTGTGTGCGTGTGTGTGTGTGTGTGTGTGTGTGTGTGTGTGTGACCCTCTCACTGCAATTTTTGAATGGCTTGACCGATTTGAACGAACTTGGCGGCATTCGAAAAGACTTCACCAAACTCAGAATTTACACGTGGTAGAGCCACGCGGCAGCTTTTGCTGTCGCACGGATGGGCCGGCTCGAACCGGGGTGATACCACGACCTCACAGAATACCAGCGTGAAGTAGAGGTTTACCTCTGCGTTTCGCTTGGTGAGTGCAGGTGGCCGGAGGCTCTTTTTACTGGAAATGAGGCATTCCATCTTAGTCCTCACGGGTGGTAACGCATCTGCATTTTGATTCGCAAACGAGGATAGATGTAGATGTCTATGGGCCGCAGCAACCACTTACCATCAGGTGGACTGTGTGCTCGTTTGTCACCCTTATCCTATAAAAAAAAATTCTTTACCATTTGAACCGATTCGCACCCGTAGACTTAGAGAAATCCCAAAAATAAAACATTCAACATACTGGTCTACTGACCCATAGATGGGCGGACATTGCGAATGCCTTCGTTCGGGTTTGGCACAAATCCCTTCTTTCGAAGCTTCCTTTCTATGCGCTTCCCGAGAAATTGTGCGATTGGATCACTAGCTTCCTTGCAGATCGGAGCATCAAGGTCGTTGTATGTTGTGTTGTTGTGTTAATGATATGTTGCTAACTGGTAACATTCATTGCTATACAGATGACAGCACTGGTGATGCTCTATACACCGGCCGTGCCAATATTTCTCGGGAAAACTTCGCCGAGTACCAGAACAAACTTGTGTCTGAAGTCGAGTCTTTGCTGAACAAAGTCTCCGATTGTGATGTGACTAAATCTAGTCCAGTTTAATCCTCAGAAGACACAAGTTTGCGCGTTTATCGCTAAAAAGAACCCCCTTGTCGTATCTCCTCAGTTTCAAGGCACTCCCCTTCTTGCCTCAGCCAGTATCGGAATCGTCGGAATCGACATATCGAGTGACGTGCAGTTTCGTGGTCACTTGGAAGAGAATTGGCCAAATTGGCCTCTAAAAAGCTTAGCGTGCTCAGCAGAGCGGGACAGTATTTCATGCCGGCACACCGCCTGCAACTTTACAAGGCGCAGGTTCGGCCTCACATGGAATACTGTTCTCATCTCTGGGCAGGGGCTCCCCGGTGCCAGCTCCTTCCACTTGACCGCATCCAGCGCAGAGCGGCTCGAATCGTCAACAACCGATTCCTTTCCGATCGGCTCGATTCATTGGCACTGCGAAGAGATGTTGCATCCTTTTGCATTTTCTTTCGCATCTACCACGGGGAGTGCTCTGAGGAGTTGTTCGGATTAATGCCAGCCGCCAAATTTCACGAACGCACATCGCGGCAGAACTCCCGATACCATACACACCATTTGGATGATTGGCAGTCCACCACTGTGCGATTTAGAATATGTTTTCTTCCTCGCACGACTTCCTTGTAGAATCGATTACCATCAGAGATTTTTCCGGACCGATACGACTTAGGGACCTTCAAGAAAAGAGCGTACTCCTTTTTAAAAGGCCAGCAACGCATCTGCAATTTCCTCCCTGGTGTTGCAGTTGTTCATGGGCGGTGGTAGTCACTTACCATCAGGTGAGCCGCATGCTCGATTGCCCCCGCTCCTATAAAAAAAATCATAACAATGTATGTTTGAAATAACTTTTAGACAGATGTAACGATCATTCCAATATCTAATTAGCTCCTAAGCTCAACAAACACCGTCGACTACTGCAAACTGCATCAAAATTTGTTAATGCGTTGAAGAAAAATTGCTTACGAAAAATTTTGTTAAAAGTATTTTTTCTCTTCGAAAACATTATAATAGATGGAACGTGGAGCGCTTTGCATTTGAAATTAACGGTAAGTTCCAGTGATGGCCTGTAGGTTCGACTGTATTTTTTGTACAATACGCGGTATCATTGCTAATTATGAACTGATATTATTCATTCTATAATTAATAGAATCAGGCGTTACTTTGCGGAAATCCATTATATAAAAGCTTTTAAAAAATTACTTCGCAAATATCCGCGTTATAAAAAAAAATAACGTGTCTTAGTATGAAGAACACCTCCCGCCGTCCCTCAATTGCGTGCACTATCCCCGTCACCACTAATCCCAGCACTGCTACTCTCAACACCACTACACTAGGCAAGACACACCACTGACGATAATACGACACGTGTTTCGCCTCTACACGAGGCATCCTCAAGTGATATAGACTCTACGGTGGCTAACCGCTAAGTGACTATTGAGAGAAGGCGGGAGGTGCTCTCCATACTAGGTAAGACACATCATTTTATTTTATAACGCTGATATTTGAGAAGAAAATTTTTGAAAAGCTTTTTTATTCATTATTTTTATCTTATTATATATTTTTTATCTCAAAAAACTTTAAATAACAATCTCTTTCACCATAGCTAACATTAAAGTAAAATAATTATTTAGTTC